GCTGAGGGGACCTAAGAGAGGGCAGACCAAGAAAAACTCCCAAGTACTCAGTCAGCCAAGGCAAAGATTGGATCAAGATGCCAAGACATTGCCGGCCTCATTTGAAGGAAGAGATGGGTAGGTGCCAATGCAAGAATTCCTCCAACATCCTGAAAAGCAACATGGTAACACCAGAATTCAGCAAACACGCAACAGGAAGACCTGAACACCCTAACCCAGAAGAAGTAGAAGAAAACAACTTTAAACGTACATTATGAAAATGATGAGGACCCTTAAACAGGAAGTGAGAAACTCCCTTAAAGAAATGGAAGAGAGGGGGCCGGAGAGAGGGCTCAGAGGTTAAGAGCATTGCCTACTCTTCCAAAGGTCCTGAGTTCAATTCCCGGCAACCACATGGTGGCTCACAACCATCTGTAATTGGGTCTGGTACCCCTTCTGGCCTGCAGGCATACACACAGACAGAATATTATACACAAAATAAATAAATAATTTTTTTTAAAGAAAAAACATGGAAGAGAAAACAAACAAAAAGTTAGAAGAAATTAATAAATCCCTCAAAGATACCCAAGAAAACCAAAGAAAAGCAATCAAACAGGTAATGAAAACAGTTCAAGACCTGAAGACTGAAATGGAGGTAATAAAACACAAACTGAGGGAAGGCTGGATATGGAAAATCTGGGTAAATGAACAGGAACTACAGAGACAAGCATAAGCAACAGAATACAAGACTCTCAGGTGCTGAAGACACTATAGAGGAAATAGACTCATTGAACAAAGAAAACATCAAATCCAACAAATTCTTAACACAAAACATCCAGGAAATCTGGGATACCATGAAAAGACCAAACCTAAGAATAATAGGGGTAGAAGAAGGCGAAGAATTCCAGCTCAAAGGCCTAGAAAATATATTCAACAAAATTATAGAAGAAAACTTCCCCAACCTAAAGAAGGATATCCCTATGGAGGTACAAGAAGCTTACAGAACACCAAATAGATCGGATCAAAAAACAAAACAAAAACAGCCCCTCGCCATATAATAATCAAAACACAAAACATACAGAATAAAGAAAGAATTTTAAGAGCTGCAAAGGAAAAAGGTCAGGTAACATATAAAGGGAAACCTACCAAAATTACCTGACTTCTCAATGGAAACCATGAAAACCAGAAAGTCTTGGATAAATGTGCTGCAGACACTAAGAGACCATGGATGCAAGCCTAGACTGCTATGCCCAGCAAAGCTTTTTTTAACCATTGATTGAGAAAACAGGATATTCCATGACAAAAAAAGATTTAAACAATACGTATCCACAAACCCAGCTTTACAGAAAGTACTGGAAGGAAAACCTCAACCCAAGGGAGCTGACAACACCCACAATAGCATAGATATCTGATAACCCTCCACCAACACAACTCAAAGAAGGGAAACACACAAACACTACACCACAAAATAACGGGAGTTAACAACCACTGGTCATTAATATCACTTAATATCAATGGATTCGATTCACCTATAAAAAGGCACAGGTTAAGAGAATTGGATACAAAAACAGGATCCAGCATTCTGCTGTTTACAAGAAACACACCTCAACCTCAAAGACAGACACTACCTCAGAGTAAAGGGTTGGGAAAAGGTTTTCCAATCAAACAGATCTGAGAAACAAGCGTGTGTGGCTATACTAATATCTAACAAAATTTATTTCAAACTAAAATTAATCAGAAGAGATGGAGAAGGACACTTTATACTCATAACAGGAACAGTTCATCAAGATAAAGTCTCAGTTCTGAATATCTATGCCCCTAATATAAAAGCACCCACATATGTAAAAGAAACATTACTAAAACTCAAATCACACATCAATCCCCACACACTAATAGTAGATTTCAATACTCCTCTGTCACCAATTGACAGATCAACCAGACAGAAACTTAATAGAGAAATAAGAGAACTAACACATGTAATGAATCAAATGGACTTAACAGACATCTATAGAACAATCCACCCAAACAGGAAAGAATATACCTTCTCAGCACCTCATGGAACCTTTTTGAAAATTGATCACAGCCGGGCGATGGTGGCGCACGCCTTTAATCCCAGCACTGGGGAGGCAGAGGTAGGCGGATCTCTGTGAGTTCGAGATCAGCCTGGTCTACAAGAGCTAGTTCTGGGACAGGCTCCAAAGCCACAGAGAAACCCTGTCTCCAAAAAAACCAAAAAAAAAAAAAAAAAAAAAGAAAGAAAATTGATCACATAATTCAGTAACAAAGCAAACATCCACAGATACAAAAAAATTGTCATAACCACCTGTGTCTTATCAGAGCACCATGGAGTAAAGCTAGAATTTAACAATAATTCCACCCCCAGAAAGCCTACAGACTCATGGAAACTGAACAGTCAACTACTGAACCACCCTTGGGTCAAGGAAGAATAAAGAAATAAAGTCTTCCATGAATTCAATGAAAACGAAGACACAACATAGCCAAACCTATGGAACACTGAAAGCAGTGCTAAGAGGAAAGTTCATAGCACTAAGTGGCCTTGACTGTTGTGAAGTTGACCCAGGGGCTGTGTGGCGGAGGAGAGAGGGGAAACTAAAACTGTGAAGTCAAGTCTCTGCTTGCCTTCAGCTCCAGACACTGTGTGCTACTTCAGCCTGGCTTTTCCTGCCACTGTGGCTACGCAGGCAGGAGGATTCCCACCTGTGAACCAGGATCTGCACACTGCCTGCTGGTGGAAGTGAAGGCTGGCTTAGGACAGCTGTTGTGAACTTAGACCAAAGTAATAATGGCGTTGACCTTATAATTGTTAAAATAGCCTTTGTTGTGAAGAAAAATACTGTACTACTGCCAGTGACATGATTACTATCTAGGATTTCCTTCAGGATGAGTGTGAGTTGAGTGTCCCAGTAGACTCTGTAACGTGGGAGCTGGAGCCAGGTGGATTGCCATGAGTTTGAGGCCATCCTGTGATTGTCCTGTGATTATTAACAGCATTTTCTTTCTGTTGGTATTGTTTGTGTGCCAAATGCTGTCTTTTTTTTTCATATTTTAAAAAGGCTTTATTTTATCTTAAATTGTGTCTGTGTATGTCTGTGTGTGAGTGTGTCTGTGTGTGGGTTGGTCTGTGTGGGTATGTCTGTGTTTGGGTGTGTCTGCATATGTGTGTCTGTATGTGGGTCTGTCTGTGTATGGGTGTGGGTGTGTATGTAGGGGTGTGTCTATGTGGGTATGTCTGTGTTTGGGTGTGTCTGTGTGTATATGTGTGTCTGTGTGCGGGTCTGTCTGTGGGTGGGTGTGTTATGTATGGGTGTGTCTGTGTGTATGGATATGTCTGTGTGTGGGTGTGTGCATAAATGCAGTGTCTTCAGACCTCAGAGGTGGGTGTCGTTCTCAGGAATTGCTTTTCAGACTCTTGTGAGCTCCTGTATATGGGTGCTGAGAACCAGACTCAGGCCATCTAGAAGAGCTGTGTGTGTCTCTAACCACCGAGCTACCGCTCCAGTCCGTTCATTGTTTTGCTATCTGACTGTGAGCCCAAGCTGGCCTTTGCCTTCTGCTGACAGCTTCATGATCCAGCAGGCAGGAGGACTTTGACTCCTCAGCACCGTGAGATTACAGGAGATTTCACTGTGCTTGTTAGAAGCCTGGTCCTGACTTGCAGCATCCTATAAGCAGCCCAGAACTAAAGCCAGTTGTTCATGTAGCTCCCCAAATCTGATCTGGCTTGCAAGCCCTGGTTCATACCTCAGCGTCAGGGTCCCTTTGAATAAAGCAAACTCCACTCTTAATGTGCAGAATAGGAAGTGTTCTGAGGAAGGAAGTGGCCGCTGAGTTTACAGAAGGCCCCTTCCATGTTCTTACAGTTTACATCCGTGTAGTCCTCCTGGAGTCTGTAATCCGCAGCCAGGAGTTCACGTCTGTGAAGTCCTTGGAATCTAATCTGCAGTGTAGCTGCTGGGGTGGCTGCAAACCTGCACCTGCTGTGACCTGCTGCATCTTGTTTTAAAGTAGCAGTTGGAGCTAGGTCGGACAACACACACTCATATCCCAGCATTTGGGCACCTGAGACAAGTTTGCAAGTTCAAGACCAGAGAGAAAGACAAGGAAGAGACAATGAAATTTGCTTTTTTTTTTTAAAGTAACTTTTGTAAGATTTTGTATTTGTGCTTCTTAAATAGAGACTATGTCAAAGAGATGTGCTTCCTAAAAAATAGGACAAAGCCTGAGGGGGAGGAGCAGTTTACGTGGTGGTCTCGCCATTTAACTCACAGGCCCTGGCTGGCCTGTCTCACCTCCTGAGTGTGGGAATTAAAGGTGGAACATAAGCACACCTGGCCCACTGTAGCTTCTTGGTCCTTCCAGTTGGCTGTGTCTGCACTGCCCTGTGCGTTAGGTGACAAGACAACACAGCACCAGTGCCAGTGCAAGACCAGAACATTGAAACAGCAACAACCATTCCGGACGGGGTGTGTGTGTGTGTATCCAGATGTGTTCCCCACTTCCTGATTTAACTATCATGGGCTTTATCTTCCCTGTCAGTCCCATGTCAGAAAGATAATACATTTGTAAGGTGAGATATCAGTGATCTGGCATCAGACACCCGCAATCCCAACTCTGGGAGGCAACAGCAGGAAATCAGAAGTTCAAGGCCACCATAGCTGTGTGGGGAGTTGTTGATGGGCTGTGGTTCAAGCCCGGCAGGCTGTCCCACCGCGTCCCCCAGGACAGCACCAGAGCAGAGATTGCAGAAGGGAACCTCTGGTAACTTAGGGATGGCCGCCTGCCAGAGAGCTTTCTGTCTGAGGAGAGAGAGGCGCCTGTGGGCGGAGCGGTGCATAGGTGAAGCTGGAGCTGGTGTCCTGGACGAGGCTGAGGCTGGCCTGTCACCACATAGTGTAGAAGGGCTCGGACGTAGAGCATTCTCTTCCCCAGAACCAGCAAGCAGGGGAGCTTTATCATTTGATAGCATTTCCTGGAGTTCTCAACTTTTCTTTTTCTTTCAGAAAACTGAAGAATGGGAAAAAAATAAGACAGAGGAAGACATGGAAGAGTACGTGTGGGAAAATAGCTCCTCAGAGAACAACGCTCTCCGAACCCTGCTGCAGATGAGAGCTGCAGAGAGTGGCACAGCGCCAAGCAGGGACGAGCTGCTGGGGACCAGAGAGGTCGAGGATTACCGGAAGTCCGTTGTTCGGCTGAAGAACGAGGGCGAGAACGAGGCAAACCTCACTCAGTACAAAGAGTCCGTGAAGAGACTGTTAAATCTGGCGTGAAGTCTGCACTAAAGTCGCTGTATCAATTTTGTGGTGTATGTTGTTGCTGGTTTGATATAAATGGGGAAATATTTAAGAATATTGTCTATGTCAGACTTCTGTGCACTGCAGTGTGCGGTTGGGGCTTTCCGGCTCCCAGGAGGGGCACGGGAGGGGACGTCCACAGTGCCGTCCGCTGGTGCGGTGCTGAGGAAGTAGGGGTGTCCTGGCTCTGATTTTCTGAGCAGCGGTGTGGCCTGACTGCACAGAGGGAGGGGACCTTTGAGGCTCACTCTCAGAACTTCTGGACTCAGCCCGTCCCCTGGGCCACGTTAAACTGCGTCCTTTCCCTGAAGGACAAGGCTGAACCCTGAGTTCCAGCCTGGGGTGGTTTTGCAAACACCAGAACTTGCATTTGGGTCAGAAGTGAGGACAGTCTTGGAGCTCTTGCTTTAACTGTTCGGCCAGTTCAGGTTGACCTGAGGAGTCAGGATTGTGGAATGGCGAGAACTTACCTGTGTTTCTAGCTGAGCGCGTTGGCCTCTTGCCGGCTCTGGTCTGCATTGCCTCTCGGGCTATCCAAAGGGAGCAGGGTTGGGTGCATTCATTTCCTTATAAAGGTAAAGAGGGTTTTTTTTTTTCAAATTATAGTCATTTCTGAGATTCTTCAAGAAATGAGTCCTGTTGCGAGAAACCCCAGGAGGAACATCCTTTGTACTTCTACTGTATTGGAAAATCCCTAAGCAATTCATACGAATTAAAAGTCCATTTGAAGCTGGGCGTGCTCACACATGCCTTAGTCTCAGCACTTGATAACCAGGAGTCCAAGGTCATTCTCTGCTACACATCAAGACCCTCTCAAAACAGCAAAAAATGGGGTTACACAACTTTGATCCCAGCACTCGGGAGGCAGAGGCAGAGGGATCTCTGAGTTCGAGGCCAGCCTGGTCTAGAGTGAGTTCCAGGACAGCCAGGGCTTCAGAGAGAAACTGTCTCAAAAAACATACAAAGCCAAAAGTGTGACTGAGTTTAAAAGAGACAATTCCGATGATCTCTAGACACAGTTTCTTGAATTACTTCTTTAAATACGATTTTAGGGGCGAGAATCCCAGCGGTGTCACCACACATACACTTAAACAGAGCTCATGGTAATTTAAATCTGGATCTCCTTCCCACAGTTGTGGAACTTTATCATACATTAGCAGACAAATCGATGGCTTTAGAAGCCTAATATTTTGAATCATTAACAATCAAGGTAAGTTTTTAAGTCAGATTTTTCTTTTTGCTTGATACTCCACTGGTAGAGAATGTTTTATATACATTTGAGAATGTGTGTGCACATGCCTGGGTGTGTGTGTGTGTGCATATGCCTGGGTGTGTGTGTGTGTGCACATGCCTGGTGTGTGTGTGTGCATGCCTGCGTGTGTGAGTGCACATGCCTGGGTGTGTGAGTGTGTGTGCACATGCCTGGGTGTGTGAGTGTGCACATGCCTGGGTGTGTGAGTGTGCACATGCCTGGGTGTGTGAGTGTGTGTGCACATGCCTGGGTGTGTGAGTGTGCACATGCCTGGGTGTGTGTGTGCACATGCCTGGGTGTGTGAGTGTGCATGCCTGGGTGTGTGAGTGTGCATGCGTGTGTGTGTGCACATGCCTGGGTGTGTGAGTGTGTGTGTGTGTGCGCACATGCCTGGGTGTGTAAGTGCATGCCTGGGTGTGTGTGTGTGCACATGCCTGGGTGTGTAAGTGCATGCCTGGGTGTGTGAGTGTGTGTGCACATGCCTGCGTGTGTGAGTGCACATGCCTGGGTGTGTGAGTGTGTGTGCGCATGCCTGGGTGTGTGAGTGTGTGTGCACATGCCTGGGTGTGTGTGTGCACATGCCTGGGTGTGTGAGTGTGTGTGCACATGTCTGGGTGTGTGAGTGTGTGTGCACATGCCTGGGTGTGTGAGTGTGTGTGCACATGCCTGGGTGTGTGAGTGTGTGTGCACATGCCTGGGTGTGTGAGTGTGTGTGCACATGCCTGGGTGTGTGTGTGTGTGTGTGCACATGCCTGGGTGTGTAAGTGCATGCATGTGGGGGGGGCTTGCTAGAGTCTGGGTGGAGGCCAGACAATAGCTTTATGGGAGGTGTTTCTTCTACTGTGGGTCTCAAGGGCTGAAAAGTCAGTGGTCAGACAAGCACTTTGACCCACTGGACCATCTCTCTGGCCCTTTATTTATTTATAATATTTTATAATAATATTAATACACATTAAATATATGGATATTTAATATATATTAAGAGAAGTTACTGCTACCTACCCAGTGTCAGCACTGGGGAAAGAGAAAGATGTCTTTTAGGCCACTGGGCAGTTTATTTTCATGGCTGAGGTAACAGTGTTCTTTTAGACACTTTAATTTTTCTTTCATTAAGTTTAGTTTTTCATCATACGGTGGATGTTCTTTTACATTTATTATTGTGCACATACATTTGTTATTTATTATATGTGTACATTTATTGTGTGTGTGTACATACCACAGTACTTTTGATGGAGTTCTCATATGGTGGCTATGCTGTTACATTTATTATTGTTTGTGAGTGTGCGTGCGTGTGTGTGCATACGTACGTGTGCTTGTGCATGCATGCTACAGTACTCTTGTGGAGTTTGCTCTCCTTTCCCCTGTGGATCCCAGGGATTGAAGCCCTGATGAGTTGACCCTGGAAAGCAGGAAGCCTTTGCTTGCAGCGAAGTCGATGCCAGAGCTTATCTTTCCCGACCTCTTCCAGTTTTGTTACCCTGTTGAGGTTACTGAGCGCTGACTTCTGAGCCACGCCACCGGAGTGCCCTCTTTTTTCTTTCCCCTTCCCCTCTCCCATCCCATCTTATAAAGACAGAGTCTCATTTACGCCACTTCTGATCCTGCCTCATCTTCAGAGTGCTGGGATCATATGTGCCATCTCATCCAACTTGTGATTCCCTCCCCTCCCCTCCCCTCTCAATTCAGGAAGTCAAAATCACCGGGAAAGTAGACAATTTTACCAAGCCTTGGCCAGTTGGTAGGACAGCTTTATTTTTGAATGCAAATGCTGTTTTCTGACAACACCTGGCTCTGGCCTTGAGGAACTCCTCAAGAGTGTTATCCTGACCTCTGCTGCCCCAGGCGATGCCAGCCCTGCTGCTCTCCGCGGTACCTAGATGCTCCCATGACCACACAGCAGCAGAGGCAGGCAATGGCAGCACCCAGGGCCACAGAAGCCAGCCAGGCCCCTGCTGTCCCTGGAGCTCCACCCTGGGGCATTTCGTCCTCAGATGTGAGGTTGCCACTGTGGGACCCCTTGGTTTTGTTCAGTGATTGCTTGCTAACGTTGAGTCGGGAGTGACTGGACGCCTGGGATGCTTTTGTGTCTGTGGGTCCCAAGAATGGAGAAACTGTCAGGTTATCTGGACTGTGGGTGAAGTCTGTGTTACGTGACGCCTTGCTGACCTCGGTAGCGGTGGACGTGTTCACAGCAATGAATCTCATCCCCAGATCTGTGGTCGGCTTCCTGGAGTAGCTGATTCCTGTGTGTGCACTTTGCTCTTGATGTGTGGCTGACACAGTAGCCTCCGTGGGCGGCAGCACGCGCTGTGTTCCCTCCGTGTGGAGCCCTGCGTTAGCTAAGTCCAGAGCTTTTAGGATCCGCAGTCTCTCCCACCATTCAGATGAGGAGCGGGAGTCCAGGTGTGGGGGGGATGGGTGCTCAAAAACCAGCAGATCTGGATCTATGCCTGAAAGATAATGAGATCACTTAATTATTAATTTTTTTAAAATGCTACTTTTTATTTATTTTAAAATTTCAGAAATTTTCAGTTAATATGGTATATTAGGCTTAGTTTCAGTGAGGCGGCCTTAGGCACAGTCTGGAAGCCCTGAGGCTTTTACTTCACTGGGTCCCTGAACAGAGTCAAATTCCATCTCTAGCTCCACAGGCTAGAGATGAGAGAGAGGTTGAGAGCAGGCTGAATGCCGAGTTTATCCGTGCAGGGACACACTCTGCTGTGGACAAATATGGCTGTGCTGAGAAAGCTTTGTGTACAAAGTAGGCTTTGTGCCAGGGTCCTCATGCTGCCAGCAGCCGTGGGGAATACCATATGCCGCTTTGAGCTGGCAGAGCCGAGCCGGGAAGGGGGAAGCCAGCAGCTACCAAGGGTTTTGTATCCTCACTTTTCTGTTAGGAATGCCCAAACACTTGTCTTCAGGGGGAGAGGAAAGTAAAAAGTCTGCAGCTTTCCAGTACCCCTGCCGGGGAGTACTGTGGTCCGCTTCCCTCACTCCCCTCCCCTCTCCAACTTTGGCCCCTGCGATGTTTCACCCCCATCATTTTGTAAAACATAAGGCAGTGACTTCTGACTTCCTGGACACTTGTGTCCTGTCACTTGTCCTCAGCACTGTGGGGCCCACCCAGACTGCCTGCCTCCCTTTATCCTTGGCTGGTTTGGAGGTGCTACAGTCCCCATCTTCTTAGCTAGTTTCTGACGTCAACATCCTGGGAAGACGGAACGCCTCAGCAGTGCCTAGTTCCACTTAGGAATTAGCCTCCCTCAGATTGGCATGTGGGCGTGTCTGTGGGATGTTTGATTGGCAGTTGATGCAGAAGGGCTCAGCCACTGTGGAGCTAGGCTGTATAAAAAGCTGTCTGAGTTCAAGCCTGGGAACAAGCAAGAGAGGAGGCTGCTAAGTGCTCCCGCCTCCAGTCTCCCCCCCTCCCCCCCACTTCCCTTAGTGATGGGTTGTGAGCTGGGAGTCATAGGGTTGTAAAGTGGTGGTGGTGCACACCTTTCATCCCAGCTCTTGGGAGGCGGAGGCAGGTGGATCTCTGTGAGTTCCAGGACAGCCAGGGCTACAAAAAGAATCCCTGCCTTGAAAAACCAAAAATAAATAAATAAGGATTATAAGATGAGACAACCCACACACACAACACTTAGCTACTTTCCTGTTGATGCGAGAAAACACCAAAAGCGACTTCCAGAAGGAGTTCATCTTGTGGTTCGGGAAGTAAGAGTGCACCGTGGAGGCTGGAGAGATGGCTCGCTGGTTATGAGCACTGACTGTTCTAAAGAGGACCCAAGTTCAATTCCCAGCAACCCAAATGGCAGCTCACAACTGTCTATAACTCCAGTTCCAGGAAATCAAACATTATCACACAGACATGCATGCAGGCAAAGCACCAATGCATACAGAATAAAAATAAATAATTTAGAAAAGAGTGCATTATGACCGCACTCATGCGTGGTCAGAGGAAACCAAACTCACGTCTTCAGATACAAGCGTGCAACAGACAGAACACACTAGGGGTAAGGCAAGGCCATCTGATCTCACAGCCTGCACCCAGACACACGCTTCCAGCACGGCTGTACCATCTGAGCCTCCCAGGAGCCTGCACAGGACCCGGCACTCAAATACTCTGCAAACCGCTTTTGATGTGTTTATCACTGCAACAGAAAGCAAGCTCGGACACCATCCTTAGTCTTCAGTGACGTGTTCCCTTTACTGCCCCCCCCCCAAAATTCTACAACTGTCCCCGCTGTGCTGATGGCACTGAACATATGTTGTTGCCATGTCTTCCTCTTTCAGGCTCGGAACTTGTTTTTCCAGACACTTTCACCTGGGATACCTGGCATCATCTCTGAGCAGGCTCAGAACCCAAACCCTGACCTCTGCTCCTTGCTTCCCCACCCCCACCACTCACCCTGGGCTATGCTCAGCAGGGGTTGACTCTTCCTCCTCACCATTCCTTCATTTAAAAGGTAACTAAGGATG